GAAAACCCGTATAAAAATCTTGTATCAAAGCCTATAAATAATAATTTTAAGTAAAAAAATTATTTTTATAATAAATATAAATTTAAGGACTAAAAGATAAAAAAAAATACAGTCAAAGGACTAACTATTCTCTAGAAGTTTTCCGTTATCTTTAACAAGTAGGCGAAATTGAAATTGAAATGAATCTGAAAGTTAATAGACCACTTAGAAATAAAATATAATTTTTAGACTAAAAAGAAATTAAGGTGATAGTTAATAGACTAAAAATTAAATTAAGCCAATTGTTTTTTAGTTTTTCTTTCCAATGTTTTATGTGCATTTGTGTGAATCAAGTAGCCGTAATCATTTTTTCTTTTCTTGTAATAGGATATGAGAAGGATAACTTGAAGGTTCAGGTGACCTCAAAAAAGAAGTTGAGGATTAGCGGAGAACGCCGGGATCGTGTGAATGAACTTTATCGTTTCTATCAAGAATTTCCAATTCCAGCTGATTGTGATGCCGATCAAATCAGTGCAAACTTTAGGGATGGAATTCTAGACGCCATACTTCCGAAGTTGAATAAATCGGTGGTGGCGCGGCAGAAGGGGAAACCAAAACTGGCACCCTCCAAAGAAGCTCCGAAGCCTGATCTAAAGCCAACGAATTGGAACGCAAATCTAGCTGAACAAAAGCAGGCTTTACAGAAAGTTCCTTCCAAGAAGGATACGGATAAGGAAGCAACTGAACAAGTAGAGGCACAAATGCCTCAGAAGCATAAAGATGTGCAACAGAATCAATACAAGGATCAAGAAAATGTTGCAGATAAAGAAGTTCCTCCCAGGACTGCGGTAGCAAAGACGTCAAATGATGTTTCAAGTAAGGTAGCAGAGAAAGAGAAGGAAATGAATGATGGAAATGGAAAGACTAATGAGAAACCTAAGGAGAAGGAGCAGGGAGGTGTAACCGGTATGATGGAGGAGAAAGTTAAGCATCAGCTAGGAGTTACTCAGCAAGTCCTCGGCGTTTTAGTCACAGAGATCAGGAACCCAAGAAAAGTAACGAAACTGGTGCTTGCCGTGTTGTTGGTTCTGGTGCTTGGCCTTTATGCTGAAGATGCATTTAGGTTTCTGCTTCCAGGATCTGATCCTGAGTTGCAACAAACAATTTAGCATGCCTTAATTTCATGATACGGTATTACAACGAAATACATAAGAACCACATTAAAGATATATATATATATATATATATATATATGTATGTATGTATGTAAACCTCCAAAATTCTTTGATTCTGTCAATATCTTTGTCAGCTATGAATTCCT